TCCCTCCTTGCCTCCTATTCTTTCCTCTCTGGCATCTACTTTGCAGATCATTCTTTTCTGGTGCACTGGGACAGATAACACCAACAACTACACAACTACTTAACTGCTGGGGAACACTATTCATGGGCAACCTAAATGCACCACTTTTACTTCAAGATTCCAAATTGCTGTGTGAAAATTCAGGATGTATTTGTAGATTTATTTCTGCTAATACAATGATTTTTTTAAAGTAACTAAAAACATGATGAAATTTTGTCAATTTCTTAATTTTTTTAAATTTCAAGCTACACAACATGGCCACTTTTTCTTTGGCAGTCTATTTGGAGGAAAACTCTCCAATCAGCCAAAATTAATTAATATTATTTGGTGTTACATGTCGAAACTAAACAGTAATTTCCAACTTCCCTCAGCTTTTGAATAGAACCAGATCTCAAACAGCATTGATTTATTTAAAATCAAAATAATCATCTCTCTTACTCTCTAGCTCCCAATTGCAAAATCCCACAATCTCCAATGAAGTCATTTATTTTATGCAAAAAATAGTATCAACTTTTTCTTTTATCATCAATCCCCAAAATGCATAATATTTCTTCAGTACTCTATGCCAAATCAGAGATACTCGAAGTTCTTTTAAAATAGAGGATAGTAGATGCCATCAAAATGGGTAAACACTGCAATCCTGATTTTCAAAGGACTTATCTAGTAATGAGCATAATTTTTTTTCAAGAGGTTTAACTATGATACTTCCAGGCGGACATCTGCAGTTTCTAATTTCTTCACCTAGACCTAACTAGCATCAAAACTGTACATGTAGCAGTACAACCACAGAAGCTGGGGAAACAGAATGTAAAAAAGCTGGATTTAAAAGTTTAAAACGGTAGACATCTAGATGTTTGGGGATGTATATAAGTCATCAAAAGGCCAGTTCTGGGCCGGCCTGGTGGCGCACTGCTACAGTGCGTCGCTTGGGAGCGCTGCGGCACTCCCGCCTAGGGTTCAGATCCCACATACAGACCGGTTCCCGCTCACTGGCTGAGCGAGGTGCGGGCGCAGCACCGAGGGTTGCGATCCCGTTGCCGGTCCAGTCCGGTGCGGGCGCGACACTGAGGGTTGCGATCCGTTGCCGGACACGAAAAAAGACAAAAAAAAAAAAAAAAAAAA